CTGTCTTAAGCTTATATATCCATTTACAACTTATGGTATATTTACCTGGTGGTAAACTTAACATTTTCATATACCTCCAACTTTTTTAATGATTCCAGTTCCTCATCCATTGCTTTCTGCCAGCAATCTGTTCCTTAGCAGAAACAGGTTTATTTCACTATAGTTACTTGGAACTGTATTCACTTGGCATACAGCACTAGCCTGATATCTGTCAGGTGGTCATTTTACTCGGGTTGAACGTCTTGGTAATACAGGGCTTAATCGTGGACTTTCCTGTTCCACTTGCTCCTGTTCTTCTCTCTCCTCCTGTGCCTGTTCTCCTACTTCCTCCTGTGCTTCCTCTTTAATGGCTATTCATGGTTTACTTATTTTATCTTTAGGGACTATTTGGATGTCAATAATAATATCATTGCTGGATTGCTGTTCCAGTTTATCCCACCCAACTTGCTCAAGAAATTTTACACTAGCACTACAATGAACATGAGCTATGCCTGGATCCCAAAATCTAAGCTATCTATGATTGGCCTCGTAACCTACAAAAAATAACTTCTTAGCTGTATGTTGCCCTTTCAGTCTTACTTTTAAGGGAATATGGACCCATGCTAGAGCTCCAAATGTGTGTAGATAACTTAAATTTGGTTTTCTGCCATGCCAACGAGTGAATGGCAATTCAACAGTTGTTCTGTTAACTACATTGTTTAAAACATGATTACTTCACATTATGGTTTCACCCCACAGTGTTTCAGGCAAACCTGAATCAGATAACATAGTGCGAGCCATGGCTTCTAATGTTTGCCCTCTTTGTTCTACAAACAAGTTATGTTGTGGTCTGTAAGGTGCAGAACGTTTATGCTTAACACCATCTAGTTTCAACATAGTTTGGAATCTTTTGTTAACAAACTCAGTCCCATTATCAGTTACTAAAGTAATTACTTTACTTTTCATTTTTCTCTCAGCAAACTGTAGCCAGTTAAAGAAATGTTGGGATATTTCTGTTTTGTTTTTCATGAGATAGCAGAAACCATATCGTGAGTAATGGTCCATTGTAATCAAAATACAGCAGGCACCTCCTAAACTAGGTTTCTTAGGATCAATTATGTCAGCAAACACAACCTCTAAAGGTTCTTTGGTCTTAAACCCATTCAGTCTGTTTGCTGGAGTAACCTTGCTTTTATCCTGGCTACAAGCATTACAGTTTAAATACTTGGTACCGAGTTTCAATTTTACTCCCTCTGCCAATTAAACAGTTTTTTTTGAGCATTTTGCATTTAATGTGTCCCAGACATCTATGCAGTGAGCATATACATTCATCATGTGGCTTAGCATTATTATAAAAAGAGTTAGCCATCTTCAACTGATCATCATGTATCACATATAAATCATTCTCTAAATTAGCAGTAACACTTTTACCCTCTTTCTCTATTATACAGTTATATCTCCTAAAGGTTACTACATAACTAATATTAACTAAAGCCCTTACTAATAACAAATTAAATTTCAGTTTAGGTACATAAAACATGGTTAAATTCTCATTTACACATGAACAATATGCAGTACCTTCACCAGATGCTTTCATCTTCCAACCACTTGCCAATGATACATGTTGCTTATTCATGGACATCTTTACAAACCTCTCTCTATTTTTTTTAGTAATGCATTGTGATGCTTCACTATCAACAACCCACAAATCATGGTTTATCGTTGAATTGCTAGACATAGCAAAACTAACATTCTTCTTTGCCTTCTGGGGATTACCAGTATTCTGTTGTTTTCCCTTCTTACACAATCTAGCTATATGTCCTCTAGCCCCACAAGAAAAACATTTCCTAACAGTATAGGCAGTTGAAGACAAATTCTCTTCTTGTGGTTGTTCCTTCCTCAGTTAGTCCCTATCCATTTGTCTTCTTGTTTCTTCTAACAACCTTCCAGTTATCTCAGTCAATTTCAATTTATTTTTGGTCAGGACTTCCAGTGAAGATACGTAATCACCATAACTTTCATCCAATGAGGAAAGAATGGTATAAACTTGATGCAGCTCTGAAAATATCAATTCCTGTTCATGTAGCTGTTGAAAAGTTCTTTTCATGAAGTTCAAATGAGCTAACATATCACCACCTTTCAGAAGACGTGCTCTAAACAGTTTACGTGTAAGATGTATGTGTGCACCTACACTGTCACAAACATAAATCCTCTTCAAATTCAACCAACACATAGCAGCAGACTCTTGTCCACGAATATGGACTAGCTGCTGGTCACTCAGTGTTAGACCAGTTATACAAAGAGCTCGTTCATTGTTCCATTTAAAGTCAGCAAGGTTCTTGGCATTCTCATCATTTTCTGAATCCCAAGCATTTCCATTAGGTGGATCTTGAACTACAGTCCATAACCCTTCTCTAAGCAGAAGTAGACTGCACTTCATAGACCAGGAAACATAGTTTGTTCCATCCGGATTATCAGTGATAGACTTGTTGAAGTGTCTTGTACCATCTTTTACCAGGATAGTAACCCACAATTAAAGAGTAAGCAGCTGTCTGTATACAGTACTGTGCATTCACACCAACTCTCAGTTATCTGGGCCTGGTATGGCCTGGGCCAATAACCAGTGTTGAGGTAATTCCCCGTTAGGAGAATGAGCACATACAGGGAGACGTAGTGAGAGTGGTGAAGAATAACACACAACCAGCACACAGATACACTGTATAGTAAAAATGTACATTTTTACTTCCAGTAAATGGTTAAGAAAAGTCCAAGATAAGCAGTTCAAGTCATTCACAGGTAAATCAGTCAGTGTCCAGTCCACAGATAATCCAAATATCAAAGTCCAGTATCAACAAACAGTTCAGTAAAAGACTTACATCAATGATCAGTAACAGTCATTAGAAGGAACGGCAATACTCTCTCCAACAGGAGGAAACAGAGATTCACTTAGGCACTCTAAACAACCCAGGTTTCTGGCTCCATCTTAGGGCCATTTTCGGAACCACACCCAGTTATAGTTTTAGCATGCTCTTAAAGATAATGTCTATCCTCGTTTATATATTTCAAACCCAAATAACTGTTAGGAGACTTACATTCCTAACAGTACTGATATATTTATTCACATTATTGATTTACTGACATTTTTTAGTATATTATGGAGAGCTCTGACTAAATATATTGATTAAATGTGCATTGTAAATTTGTCTTTACAAATTAATACATATGCACTGGAATGTGTAAAAAGAAGTGCAGTTAAATACTAATGAGAATTTGTTTAAACAGGGAAGGTCTATGGTTTTTTTTTCTGAAGCAATCAGACAGAGGGTATTCCCTGATGCACACCACTTTTAATCATCACCTACAAATCATGGTGTAAATTTAAAAGCTGGCCATATGCTTTCTTCTCAATAGCAAAGGTCAAAGAAATATCTGGCACAAAAATAATTGTAGTAAATTCAAATAAATTCCATCAGAATTCCAATACATGCTAATATCCAATTTGTGTAATAGTTTCCTTTTAGGAGATTCAATGCAGTATAATGACTGAATAGAACAGTATTTTTCATGATCATAAGTCTGGTTTAGTAGATAAGAGTTTTGAAACCCTTGAATAACTGCATAGAACCGTTGGTTCAAGGGTCATACGTTTGTTTGAGTAGATAGTTTTGCAACACTTGAATGAGAGGCACACAGTGATTCTAAGTGCCAGTTGATCAGGTAACTCACTGAGCCATGGCAGAATTGATATCTAAAAATCTCACAAATACAATTCTGAAAGTAGACATTCTGCCTAAATCTTTTTCTGATCATAATACTGTACTTCTGGTTTTAAGAGCAAAGTGCTTGAGTTTTAGATGGAGATTAAATGAAGCTTTTCTACAAAAAGAAAGGATTGAAATAGATTATAAAAAGGAACTGCAAGAGTATTTGAGAATAATATAGGTAAAGCGAAAAGATTAATGACAGTATGGGATGCTAGTAAAATGGTTATGAGGGGCTATTTTATACAGCACAATCTTTTATAGAAGAAAAGAATCTCAGGAAAAGACACAAAGGATATTGGAGCCAATATTATAAGTGTTTGAGGATGAACTTCTCCAACCACTATCAAACAGAGTAAATGATATGCTATGGGGGAAGGAAGGCATATTCCAGACATGGACATTGTGTTGCTACCCAAGGAAGGGCCAAAATGTTACAAAGACAAAGAATTGTAGACCCATTGCATTATTAAACATGGATTACAAACCCTTTGCTGCCATTTTGGTAGAAAGACTAAAGAAGATTTTACACGTATATACATGAAGATCGAGCAGGCTTTCTTGTCAAAAAGACAGCAACGAAATAAGGTGAAGACTATTTAAATATTATTGAATGTTTACAATATCATAATGAGTAACAGGCAGAATAGAATAGAATAGAATAGAATAGAATAGAATAGAATAGAATAGAATAGAATAGAATGGAATGGAATGGAATGGAATGGAATGGAATGGAATGGAATGGAATGGAATGGAATGGAATGGAACGGAACGGAATGGAATGGAATAGAATAGAATAGAACTATAGTAATGCCATTACACACATATATATTGACATATCCATTTAACTTTATGGATCTAACGATTTTATTTTATTTTTATCTTGTGGCTCATGCATTCCCTCCTCTGCATGTCCTCACATGCTTTGAACTTGTTCCTATATGTGACTGTCTCACTATCATTATGGAATTATCCAATTCATATCCCCCAAATCCTATGGGACTCTATAAAAATAGGACCAACTAACACTGAATAATATTATTTATTGTCCCCATCTTATTCCAACTCAGGGCTGGGAGCCCCAAAGCTCTGTCTGCTGATTTGTTACTATGTTGCACTCTCTAGTTTTGTCTGAAAAATATCTCCAGAAGGCAGATCTGTCTGATCTACTTCAAACATCTTGTTGTAGAGTGAGGCGTTTGTACACAGAAATAAGACACTCATGGAAGATGTTAGTATTCATGAAATTACTGTTAATAGCACTGCCTGAAGTGGAGTGTAAGAATCCTACCCTTCAATGTGACTTTCAGGAGCCTCTTCCTATTCAGTACACCTATCATCAGCTTGGAGACATTAATATTGCTGGCATTATTTCTGCCTTCTTTGCATCTTCTAGTCCCATTGCTTTCATTCAAGATCCTTCTCAGACATTTCATGATGGACTTATGTAAGTACATCATTAATTTATTATCAGGTTCTGAACCTTGTCGGTAAATCACATGAAGCTTGAAATATTTTCCTCTAATGACAAAAACTCCAGAAAAGAATACCTAAAATAGGATGTCTATAATTTTATGTAAATTATATTTTACTTCAAATTTCAAGGTAAAGTTGAAATAGTTAAAATAGAGATCAAATCTCTATTTATAACATAGCACATATTAATATCTATTTATATGTATGCTTCTATTTATGAAGCTGTTACTGCAGTTAAGGAAGGGAAAACACATATTTCCCATGATAAGTTTTCTCTGATATTTCTGGAACCAAAAAGTAACAATTTCCTTTTGCATATAATAGTAGAACATAGAAATAAGAATTATTAAGCACATTCCACAAAATATGCTGTACTGAAAGATTACAAGGCACATAATATGAAACAAACCATTCTTACTGTGTTTTTTTTATTTTGCCTTACAGAATAGTTTTTCAGAATTACCAACATATTCTGACCTTAGCTTTTTCTGTAAAAGAGATTAATGAAAACCTCCAGATTCTACCCAATGTCACAATGGGCTTCCACATTTTTAACAGCAATTTTAGTCCAAGTTGGACTTACTTTGCATCAATGTTGTTGCCTTTCACTCAGGGAAAATTCATCCCTAACTACAAATGTGGGATCGCAAAAATGTTGACTGCAGTCATCGGGGCATCTGACATCTCTCTTCACATGGCAACTGTATTGTGCATCTACAAAGTACCTCAGGTAAGATGTGCTGAAGATATACATTATCATCTATATTCTACAAACATCTATATGCTTCTCTTTGTAAAAAGGGCTGACCTTTCGGATTCCTAGATAATATTTTCTGTTTGATAGAATCATCACAGCAGCATGAACAATTGTAATTCTGAATAGGAAATGGGGATATCTGACACAGCAAAACATGCCCCAATTCTAGACACTGAACTATGGTTAAAATTTGAAATATTCACAATGAGACTACTTCAGAAAAATGTATTTATGGATACCACAAGGGTGACATCTTGTTGATATTTCCTATAAAAAACCCAGCTGGTTGCATAATTGCAGTATATAAGGTCAAAGATACTGAAGGAATCAAATGAATGTATATGTTTTCAGAAGGTCACATAGATGTTTGAAATTGCATATGTTTATTTCTCTGTAGTTGACCTATGGATCTGCTCCAGTCATGGATAAAGAGACTCAAGCAGTTTTCTTCCAACAAATGTTTCCGAATGAATCCCAGCAACGTAAGGGCCTCCTGAAGTTGCTGCTGTATTATAGATGGATCTGGATTGGAATTGTTGTAGTAAAGGATGAAAAAGGAGAAAAATTCCTCCAGGAGGTGCTCTCCACATTTTCCAAGCATGGCATCTGCATTGAATTCATAGCAGAGTTACCAAATGTATCTTTTTACAGTGATTTTACTGATACCATAGATGAAGGATTACATATATACCATGTTCTCATGAAAAGCAAAGCCAATGTTATAGTCTTACATGGTGAAACTCAGTCCATATCAGTTCTGAGAAGTTTTCTTCAGTTTTCAGAAGTGGAGGATATACCAAAGAAGAATAAGATCTGGCTTATAAATGCTCAGACAGATTACACATCAATTGCCGTTCACAACTCTTGGGATATCCATTTCCTACATGGTGCTTTATCCTTTGCAGTTCACACAAAGCAGATCCAAGACTTCCAAGAATTTCTTCAAAACTTGAATCCAAACAACAACAACAACCAGAATGATCATTTTCGGAAAGATTTTTGGGAACAGGCATTCAATTGTTTCTTTCCAAACTCAAAAACTGAGACCTCTGAGAAGAAATGTACTGGAAAGGAGAGGCTTCAGAATCTTCCCACATCTGTGTTTGAAACACTAATGAGTGGCCAGAGTTACAATATTTACAATGCAGTCTATGCTGTGGCACATGCTTTGCAATCTCTGTCTCTGTTCAAATCCAGAGTATCAACAAGGATGAAAGAAAGACGGAAACATTTTCACAATCAGTTGTGGTGGCAGGTAAGACTGTTAGCAGAGTAGTACAGAAACCAACATATCTGTAGTTGTGCATCATGTGTCCATAAACTCTAGCAAAAAATATTCTCCATGAATATTGATGCCTGAAAATCAAAAGTGAGATGTAATAATGTATTCAGTAATAAAAATATTCATATGCTGATATTAAAATTGTAAAGGACATTGTAAAAATTTACTTAGAATATACTTCCTGTCAAGCCCAAATCCAAAAATGACAGATGATAATTCTAAACTGATTTCTTCTTGTTTTAAACCTATAGATAAAATCTTGTCAATCTGAGTACTCTACTATCTGTATCTAAAATTTACTCAATGAATTATTAGGGAGGGGTTATCTTCCTCCTCTTTTTCTCAGACATAATATCCAAACTGAATTGTCCTTTTCTTCTCTGAAATGCACCCTCTTTGTCCTTGGATTCCACTTCCTAACTACATTCCATTCTTTTTCTATAAATTTAGTCTATAAATAAATGAAAGGAGGTGATGCACTGCCTCTACAACATTTGCCGAAGGTATGTTTTTGTTGTTATGGTTAGTATTGTTATGATTGTTGTATATGCACTTAGACTTATATATCACTTCACAGTGTTATAAAGCCCTCTCTAAGTGGTTTATAGAGTCAGCATATTGTTTCGAATAATCTGGGTCCTCATTTTACCAACCTTGGGAGGATGGAAGGCTGTGTTACCCTTTATCCAGTTAGCCAGAAGTCAGCAGAAGTAGTACTGCATTCCAACCACTGTGCCACCATGGCTGATGTTCCCTTTTTATGAGGCATAGGGTTCTGGCCTCTTCATAGACCATTTCTACACCCAGTTATTCACAACGACGTGCTTATTTTTGGAGCAAATGGATGGAGAAGAATGAGGGGGACCTTATATGCTTCCAAGAACATGGGTCTAAGAGGAGAAGAGAAGGAAGTGAAGGTCTTTTTAATATCTCAGTGCACTTAATAAAAGAAAATCAAGGTGGGATAATATTTTGAGCCTACTTTTTGTGAGATATATGAACTCCCATGAGATGAAACAATCATAAATTTCAAATAATGGACATTTAAACCATTAAATTAAGTACCCACTTAATGCTGGATTTCAAGTTACAGCAGCTCCTGCAGATGTTGACTCTGACTCTGCTTTAATGCATCCAATAAAAGAAATATGCCCTTTGGTCCTGAATTCCCACCACTCATCTCTGGGGTCAGCAACCTGCGGTTCTTTCAGCCCTCTGCTGCAGCTGCTGACACAATTCCTTTCCTCCATGGCCTGCCTGCTGTTCACGCAACACCTTGTAAAGCACAGGGAAATTTAGTGTGCTTCACAATGGAGGAGATGGGGTCCACTCCTCCTCCCGGAGCCCTTTACAAAGCAGAGCCACAATGTGATCCTGTCCCATTGGCCCTGGTAACAGCAGCGGCAGTGGCTCATTCTCACATCTTGGATGTCACTGACTTTTTATACCAAGCCTGCTGCTGGTGCTGTGATGCCCCACCTCCACCACGGCCAGCTGATTTTCAGCACTCTGCCAGCCAGCTGATCATCAGCATGCTGCTAATTGATTTGTTGGTCTCCGAACATTAGATTCCCTCCACCCAGAACCAGTTCAGGGGTTCCTTCACCCCCAGGTATGGTAAAGCCATGTGGGGTTTGACATTTTTGCAGGTCAGACCAGTGGCTTGAGGTGGAGAGCAGGTCATGTGTTTCTAGCACCAACAAAGGCCAGAAGTAGCTGCTCGCCATTTCCGGCTGCAGTTGGTGTGACAACGAGACCCAGATAGATATGAGGTTCTGTAGAACCAGAATCAGAATCAGAGAGAGACACTGAGAGACAGAATTAAACAGACAGAAAGAGATGGTGAGACATAGAGAGAGACAGAGAGAGAGAGAGAGAGAAAGAGAGAGAAAGTGAGAAAGAGAAAGAAAAAGAGAAAAACAAAGAGAGAGAGAGAAAGAAAAACAGAGAGCACGACAGAGAAAGAGACAGATAGAAAGACAGAGACAGTGACAAACAGAGAGAGAGAGAGAGAGAGAGACTAGGGAGAAAGCTGAACAACACGTTCAGGGCGGGGTGTGGCAAGAGGTGGCTGGGAGGAGAGAGGTGAAGCATTTTAACAACTGGTTCTCTGCCGTACTGACTGGCTGGGTAGGCGTGGCTAGGGTCGCGTGACTGGGTGGGAGTGAGTACGTTGAGTCGGTTACTCCCACCTTATCATACCAGTTGTTCAATTATTGGCTCCTAGTGTTTTCTTTACTGTGGGAAATGGGTCCAAATGGCTCTTTGAGTGTTTAAGGTAGCAGACCCCTGGCTTAACCTCTTCTAGAGACTTTATTTCTGAGGTAGAATATAGTTTCCTAAAATTTTCTAAATTAATTTTAGTCTTTACTTTCTAAAAGTAAATCTATCTCCCATTATGTTGTAAATTTAACTGGCAGACCTTGCTTTATAATGGTCATTGGAAGTTGGATTTCCATTGCTAAGTGAGGCAGTTATAAGTTGTGACATCCCTAGAACATGCGGTTTAGCAATAACGGTTCTGGAAGACCCCAGTTACCATTTTAAGTGAGGATTGCATAGTTTTCAAAGCATGAGCTTCATGTCGTCACTACTTCCAATTTCCTTCTACCTTTCCTGTTGACTTTGCTTGTAGAAAGCCAGAAAGATATATTGTAAATCACAGTCAAGTAACTGTAGGTTGCCATGACAGTCAGAAATCCAGGCCAATTATTAACTTCCAGGATTGTGATCATATGAGCACAGTAAGGAAGTCATAAGTACCACTTGTTCTGCACTGTTACGATTTCAGATGGTTTCTGAACAAGCAGTCACTGAACAACGAACACCTGTACTTAAGGGTTGCTGTACTGCCCCAATTATTGTGTTGATATTAAGTCTTGTCTGATTCTTGAAACCCCATGAACCATAGCATGCCAACCCTGCCCCCCTGTCATCCACTGTCTTCCCGAATTTTCCCAGATTAATGTTCATTGTGCTGATGACACTATTTAGCCATCTCATTCTTTGAGAGGTGGGATTCAGTCAGTTTGCAGAGGTTCAAGCAAACTGGTTGCTTTTGTGCAGTTCAGAGAACTGGCAAATCGCACCACTGACTGGCCCCACCGCACCCTGCCCATCACTCCTCATCTCACCCCACCCAACTTGGTCAGTGCCTAGAATCATTCCTGCAGCATAGCTACTGCTGTTTTCTGGCTCCCTCACTTGCCTCCACCACATGGTCTCTGTGGGCCAGACAGGTTGCCTGCCTTCACCATGGCATCCCACACAATGCCCATGGCCCAGCTAAGTTACTCTGATCTCTGCCTGATGTGCCTGCAAGGCTGCAATCAATTCAAAAGTCCTGGCCCAGCCCTTTCCACGTGGCCTGCCTTTGCCCCAGCCTCCCACACAGTGCAGCTCCCAGTGCAGCTCACCATTCTCCACTACCAGTCATGTGGCTCAGCTATCTGCCTGTGTGGTGGGCCTTCCTTCACCTCTTTACCAGTGTGAACTGCCTGCAGCCTCTGCCTCTTTGTTCAGCCAAAACTGAGATGGCAGCCGCTGCCTCTTTGTTGGCACAAAACCATTTTGGTTCAGTCCAGCAAAGAGGCAGCAGCTGCAGACCCTTTATCTCAGCAAAGAGGCAGAGGCTCCTGGCTGTTTGTTCCAGAAAAGAGGCTGTAGTCTCCAGATCATTAGCACAGATACAAGAGTTGGAAAGGACCTCATAGGTTATCAAGTCCAACCCCCAGGCAGTGGCTGCAGGCTGTTAGAGCCAGCAAAGAGGCAGTGACATCAGGCTGTTTGCACAAGGAAAGGTGCAGCAGCAGCCAAAGACAGGTGTCTCAGGTTGGAGTTGTTCCCAGCTGTACCAATAAAGGCCATAAGTAACTACCCACCATTTCCTGCTGCAAAAATATTTTAGAAAACCCTGACTGTTCGCAGTGAGACCTAGAAAGAGAAAGGGCATTTGACAATCACTTGTGGCTGTTGCTGTACAAAGCTAAGTCTAAGGTTCTGATCATCACCACCACTGCTTCAGCCTGTCACACTGCCACACCTTGCCATGAATAACATGGAGTTGGCCATGCCCACTCAGTCACATGACCCCACCCCCAGTCTTGCCCGATCGGTCATTAGAAAAAACCAGTTGTTAAATTAGTTGAATTCCACCACAGTATCCTTTGCTATCCTCTTCTCCTTTTGCCTCCACTCTTTCACAACATCAGGGTGTTTTCCAATGAGTCTTCTCTTCTCATTAGGTTGCCAAAGTATTTGAGCTATGTGGGCATAAGCTGAAACATATTTGCAAGTCACTATATGTCAGTGTCTATTTCAATTACTTTTTTTTTGTTTCCTAAAAAACTAAAAAATTAAATGTTTTCCCTGTTGCTAAAAGTTTACAGGAGTTCTTTGTTCCCTTGAAAAATTCATCATTATCTTTCCTGTTTTAAGTGTCTTCCTCTTTTTCAGTGGTTTTATTTTTTCTCTTAGATCATTAAGAATTTAAAAATTTCTAAAGAATTGAAGTAAGTAAACTATATTTTTCAAATGTTCAGTTGAAAAAAAAATTGAAAAAGATGTAAAAATTGAAAAAAGAATTTAAAATTAAACATGATATTTAAGGATTGAAAAGAGATTAAAATTTTAACAAAGAATTTAAAAATTGAAAAACAATTTTTAAAAAATTGAACAGGATTTTTTTCTTTTAAAAAAGGGAACCATTTCACTTTCTACCATTAGAGTGGTATCATCTGCATATCTCAGGTTGTTGATATTTCCACCAGCAATCCTAATTCTGTCTTGTGATTCACACAGCCTAGCATTTCATAAGATGTGCTTTGGTATTCAGCAGGTTCTGACCAGTTCTGGAGAACCGGTAGCGGAGATCTTGAGTAGTTCAGAGAACAGACAAATACCACCTCTGACTGGAGATTTTACAGTATCCTTCCCCTGCCACGCGCACCAAGCCACACCCACCGAACCGGTAGTAAAATAATTTGAATCCCACCACTGATAGCCTATTACCCTATTTTCAAGCAATCAGTTGTCCCATGTCCAGTTCTAACTGTTGATTTTTGGCTGACATGAAGATGTCAGACTTACCCAGAGCGGGGGTACACTTTTATTGACAAGGGGTTTGCTGGTCATGAGCCACTTTGGTGCTGAAATGCAGCTTCAAACAGCAGCCAATTGACTCAGGCAGACCCAGAGAATATAGCACAGCAGCATGGGAATCACCTGGGAAGCCTAGACTGGGGGGAAGTTGCTTATTTAGGGAAGGCATAGCACAATGGGTGGATGGTTGGAACTAGGGATTCACCCGAACCTCGCTGACCATCCAGCAGCCCACCACTGGACCTGGTCCAATCTCATCCCTTAAGATAGAAAGCCCCTCTACTCCATTTGGTTAAAGCAATGGGTTATTTTACTAAAGGTGTTGATTGTAGCAATGTCAAGCCAGCTCTGAATTCACCCACATTTGCCAGGTACAAAAAAGGTTCACCCACAATTACACACACACAGATGCACACATTTCCAGTGAAACAGAGCTCGCCATCATGTTTTGAGAACATTTAAAATTTTGGGGATAATCCGCATATTACTCAGAATGCTTGGGCTTGGGATGCTGGTACAAACAGGATCTGACAGGTCTTTTTCACATGTTGTTTCCCCCTCCTGATTTCCCATCACACACACACACACAGACACACACACAGAGAGAGAGAGTTTTCATCTTCCTCCTCCCCTTTCTGACCTTTGATGGCAGGAAACAGGTGAGGTGCCAAGCCAAATCAGGAAGAGCTGACATGAGCCTTCTCAGGTGACAGGTATGGAGTTTGGGTACTCCCTTTTCTTTAAGAACTTGCCACAGATTGTTGTGATCCACATTATCAAAGGTTTTAGCATGGTGAATGAAACAGAAGCAGATGGTTTTCCGGGAACTCTTTTTTGCTTTCTCATAATCCAGCAAATGCAGGAAATATGATCGCACTTCCTCTGCCTTTTCAAAAAAATCATTTCTACTTCTTATTTCTCGGTTCACAACTGCTGAAGCCTAGCTTGTTGCATTTTAAAATGTAACCTTGCTAGTGTGTGAAATGGGTGCTTATGGTATATGGTAGTTTTATACATCCTAGTATTTATTGTATATTTATTAGAAGTGATCTGGCTTAAGTAGCTTTCACAATTAAGCTACAGAGCTTTTTTTTTTTTTGCTGGCCCTTTTTTTTGCAATTTCTTTAAATTTTTTTTTAAAAATCTGATATGTAACCTCTAGCTCTATTTTAGAATGATTGTTATGTTAATTGTTTGATACTGGCCTACAACTAAAATAAAAAAGTGTTTATATTTTCTTTGTTTACAAAAACATTCACATGTGTTTTTGTAAACATACAATTATGAATTATTTCTCACCCTTTGTTCATCTTTCATTTCCTCTGTTTCAGGTTCATCCTTTTTTGAGAAGAATGAATTTCAACAACAGTGTTGGTGAAAAGATCTCCTTTGATAAAAATGGAGAATTCATTGGTGGTTTTGATATTATCAATTGGATCACATTCCCGAATCAATCTTTTGCTAGGGTCAAAGTTGGAATGATAGATCCCACAGCTCCAGCAGAGAAGTTCTTCAATATTTCTGTAGATTCCATCACATGGCCATTAGGCTTTAATAGGGTTAGTTTTTTAAAAATCTAGATATGTCTGAATTCATTTAATTATCTGTATTGATGAAAGTCTCAAAGCATTATCTCTGACTAACCTAGGCACAAATATCCTGGAGAAGGAAAGGTATCAGTAAGATTTTTTTAAAAAACATTTCCAGCAATAGCTTTTGAATGTTTTATCCTTTTCTGGCTCCCTGTTAATTATGGACAATGGTTTTCATGGTTTTGAAGTAAAAGCTGCTAGATTTCATCAGTTTGCTAACTTCAAAATTCAGAAGTTGTGAAAACCAACTTTAACTAACCAGCAAAGAAATTGTCTTTGAAGTGTGGTGATCATGATTATCAATGGCCATAAATACAATTATTGTTGATATTTAATTAATTATAATTTCAGAGCAATTACTTCTAAAATTATGACATAACATTACTTTCGTTTTAATCTGTTGATACCATGTAACCATCATGCCCCTGGTGGGGATTGACTCTAAGGAAGAGGCGGAACAACCAACAGGGAGTGGAAGTGTGGATCCAGAAGTAGTGGAGGAGGCTGGGGAAGGGCAGAAGCTGGCTGAGCAACCAGAGGAGGATCCAGGCCCATCCCCTATCCATCCTAGGGCATACAGGGAGGAAAGGATCAGGGAAAGACATGGTCTACTTGGGAGAAGAGGGCAATGATCCTCCTCATGGGTGGCAGCTGTGAGCTCTGTATAAGAGTTTGGAACTGCGTGTTCACAGACACTGGAGTCAAATTAGTTCTTTCATTGGGTGAGGTTTATCTTTGTTGGCATTCTTCCAATGGACTCTCCCCAGTTATCTACCTGGAATGTGTGATTAATTATCTTGGTTTGCCTTGCAATCTCGGTCAATGAGATTTGTTTTTGGTTTCCTTTTGCTTCATTATCTACTTTCTGAATTTAAACTGTGACTAATAAAACAGTGAAGTTAAGCTGAAGGCATTACAAGACCGTGGTTCATGTATTAGTATTTGTGTTATTTTTGAGACACTACAGATCATCACGTAAACTGTCCATGCTCTTCCTTTCCTCTCTGTATCTTAAAATACTCTTCTTCATTCATTGATAGGCATTACCTGTATCTTTGTGTAATGATCCTTGTAAGACAGGACACAGCAAGGCCAAGAAAGAAGGACAGTTGTTTTGTTGCTATGATTGTCATCTATGTCCAGAGGGGAAAGTATCAAAGGAGAAGGGTAGGAAATTTTCAGATACAACCCTATGTATATAGACTGTCTACAATCAAATGTATCAATTGCACTGTGTTCTTTTTCAGACCAGGATGACTGCTCTCCATGTCCTGAAGATCAATATCCAAATCCGGGCAAAAATATGTGCATTCCAAAGCGGATCACGTTTTTGTCCTATGAAGAACCCTTGGGGATCAGTCTGACTGTTCTTTCTCTTTGCTTTTCTTTGATGACAACTTTGGTAATCACAATCTTCATCAAACACAAAGACACTCCTATCATCAAAGCCAACAACCGGAATCTCACTTATATACTCCTAATTTCTCTTCTCCTCTCTTTCTTTTGTGTCTTTCTATTTGTTGGGAGACCCGATATGTTTGTTTGTCTCTTTCGACAACCAGCTTTTGGTCTCATCTTTTCTGTGGCCATTTCTTGTGTATTGGCCAAAACCTTTGTTGTGGTTCTAGCATTTATGGCCACCAAGCCTGGTTCCAGATTGAGGAAATGGGTGGGGGGAAGGATGGTCAGTTTCATTCTACTATCCTGTTCCCTTGTTCAATTAAGTTTTTGTGCTGTGTGGCTGATAACATCCCCACCGTTTCCAGATTTTGATGTGCTTTCAATGTCTGAAGAAATCGTCCTGGAGTGTAATGAAGACTCAGTCATGTTCTACTGTGTTTTGGGCTTTATGGGTTTTCTTGCTCTGATTAGCTTTTCTGCTGCTTTTCTAGCTAGGAATTTACCTGACAGTTTCAATGAAGCCAAATTCATCACCTTCAGCATGTTGGTCTTCTGCAGTGTTTGGCTGTGCTTTATTCCAACCTATCTAAGCACAAGGGGAAAATATACATTGGCAGTGGAGATCTTCTCCATGATCTCCTCCAGTGCTGGATTATTAATGTGTATCTTTCTTCCCAAGTGTTTTATCATTGTAATGAGACCTGAACTGAATGATAAACATCAGCTCATAAAGAGAAAGTTTTAAGAAATCTTTACATTTGTCTGATATCATTTATATGTACCTGTTGGAGAAGTTCCCCGCTTTGACATTTAAGTCGGAGAACAATGTACAGAGGCAGTGATGTTCTGTGTTTCCTGTCCCCTGAGATTTGGATAGCTTGGAAGTGTTTTTTTTTTTTTCCTTCTGGAAGGCAATTATAACTGGGGTCTATAAAAATATAAATTACAGCACAAAATGGTGTATTTGTTGAAGTAATTCCCTGTTAGGAAAATGAGCGCATACAAGGAGACGTAGTGAGAGTGGTGAAGAACAACACACAAACAGCACACAGATACACTGTACAGTAAATATAGGTTTTTACTTCCAATAAATGTTTAAGCAAAGTCCAAAATAAGCAGTTCAAGTTACTCACAGGTAGATCAGTCAGTGTCCAGTCCAGGGATAATCCAGATATCAAAGTCCAGTATTAAAAAACAGTTCAGTAACAGACTTACATCAACGATCTGTAACAATCATTAGAAGGAATGGCAATACTCTCGAACAGAAGGAAACAGAGATTCTCTGAGGCACTCCAAACAGCCCAGGTTTCTGGCTCCATCTTATGGCCATTTTCAGAACCACACCCAATTACAGTTTTAGCATGCTCTTAAAGATACAGTATTAAAATGTCTATCCTCGTTTATATATTTCCAACCCAAATAACTGTTAGGTGACTTACATTCCTAACATTCTCCCCTTTTGGGAATGACAATATATACAACCTTACATTCTAAGTCCATAATCTTTGAAGAAAGCCTTATGCTTTATAGAGCCTTGGGCCTTTGTAAAATGATCTGCTATGTTGTTTTCTGACATACAGTATTCCCGCTTAATCATTTTACTTTGCACACATTGTCTCACATTTAAATATCTAAAATCTGTGTGTTTCGATCTTATTTTAACAGCAATATTTGAAGCAATCTATATTGCTGATTGGTTATCTTTGAATATCACTTTGGTAAAACTCCTGGCTCATTGGTGTCTTAGCCATCTTACAAAGTTCCATTTTAAAACTTTTTAGTAATTGGTTAATTTTATCTGCCTGTGAGATCTTGTATCCTCCCCTAGTTTTACCTATCTTTAAACCAAGATATTGTTTGATTTCTCCTAACTGTTTTATCTTAAATTTCTTCTCTAACAGTGAGATTATTTTAATAGCTTCTTGTTCAGTTTTGGGGATTAATGCTATGTCATCAGTAAACAATAGCAACAATAAAATTACACCATTACTTTCCTTTTTTTAAAAAAACATTGATCAGCCATGCCAGCTACAAAACCTATCTTAGTTAATTCTTTAACTATACATTGGTTCCACTCATATCCTGATTGCTTCAAGCCATAAAGACTCTTTTTCAATCTCCAGCAATCAGTTGTATTATCATTTTTGATACCTAAAGGTTTCTTTAAATAAATACTGTGTTGCAACAGTGCATGCAGATATGCCACATCTACATCCAAATGATTTAAAATGTATTCCTCCTTAACTGCCCACACTAAAGCTGCCATTAATGTATTAGCCTTCAGATTAGGTGCAAACACCTCATCATAGTCATTTGCTGTCTGATCGAACCCTTGTGCTACTAACCTGGTTTTATGGGTAACTGTCCCATCCATACCTGTCTGAAGCTTATATATCCATTTACATCCTATGGCATGTTTACCTGGTGGTAACTTAACATTTTCATATACCTCCAACTTTTTTAATGATTCCAGTTCCTCATCCATTGCTTTCTGCTAAGCAGTCTGATCCTTAGCAGAAACAGGTTTATTTCACTATAGTTACTTGGAACTGTATTCACTTGGCATATAACACTAGCCTGATATCTATCAGGTGGTCATGTTACTTGAGTTGAATGTCTTGGTAATGCAGGGCTTACTTGTGGACTTTCCTGTTCCACCTGCTCCTGTTCTTCTCTCTCCTCGTGTGCCTGTTCTCCTACTTCCTCCTGTGCTTCCTCTTTAATGGCTATTCATGGTTTACTTATTTTATCTTTACGGACTATTTGGGTGTCAGTAATAATACCATTGCTGGAGTTCCGGTTTGCAGGGTTTGGCGGCAGGCAGGAATCCATGATCATGTGCAGTTTCTGCCTGGGCTCGCTGCTGGAGTGCCCCAAGCCAGCTGGCTATGGGGCTAAGCCACCCCATAGAGGTGGTGAAGATTGCAGAGCACCAGCAGGGTCAAGGGGAGCTGCATCTCTCCTCCTTGGCTGGTCAAATTCACTTTCCCGAAGGCAGTAGAGTGGCGGTCAGAGATGGCCGCCTCAAAGAAGGACTGAACCGTAAAAGAAAATGCAGGAGGAAGTAAAGAAGTGAAAGTTTTGGCTGACTGGGATAAAAAGCAACAACTAAGGTACCCTGGAATTTAAATTTTATAAAAGATAACATTGCTCCCAAAGAAGAGTCAGAAGCAGTGAATGAAAGTAAAACAGGAAAGTTTTTTTTTTCCTTCTCTCTCCTTCCTTACATTGACAACAAAGAGAGTTGAATAAGAAATCGGAAAAATCCACTTTGGCACTAATCAGCATTAAGCTGAAAATATAATTAATTGCCAAAGGGACAACGAAGATTTCTGGACACTAAAAAATCCTTTTCTTATAAGCAGGAAGGGGGAGGAAAAGAATAAGGGTAAGATCTGGAAGGAGGTGATTGCCTGTACTTAAAAAGAATCTAAGATTAAATCTTAATATGACTTCTAAAAGATACATTTTAACTGGAACTTTGTATCTAAATAGTAACCCCAGGAACAGAAAGTGAGAAAAGAAGAAAATGTAAAAAGAAACAATTTGTGTGTATTTGGATCGCTTGGTGATTTTTGGATTTTTGGATATTATATTTGAATGACTAAAAACAATTGGGTGGTTGTTTAAAAAATTCTACAATGGCATTAACCTTGGATAAACTAAAATTGGAATTTAAAAAAAATAAAGGAGGTACAAGAAGGAAAGGGCTCCTTTGGCTCTGTTTTTCAATTCTTAGAAATGGCGATCTATAACTACAAGAAATTACAAGAAAAGACTGCGCAACAAGAAGATTGGGTCAAAGAAGAAGCCATCTTTAATGAACAAGTAACTTTATCTAGGGAAGAAAGGGGAAAGTGGGGAAAAAGAATGGAGAATTTAAGACTTAAAAAAACAGCCAAAAAAGGGAAAAATAATTTGAAAAGTGGATATAATGTTGGAAAGCAATAGAAAAGGGCAATACAGAAGAGGGAAATGGAGGTGGAGAGACAGGGGGCTACAAAGGGGAGAGAAAAGAAGAAAGGGAAGAAGGAAAGGAAGAGAAGTTACAAAGGTTTGGAGCAAGATGTAAAGAAACAGGACCTATTCAGAGATAATGAGTGAAAATTTAACTGAAAAAGCGATTCTGTGAAGGTACATAAGATTGTATTGTTATATTTGTAATAGAAATAATCTTAGAAAATTGGGAAACAACATATGATTAAAAAGAGGGATAAAATAGTCAGTGTAACTTAGTGAAACTTTTGTGAACAAAATAAATGAAATAAAATAAATGAGAGAATTGAACTAAGAAGGAATGGGAACATTTTAATTACTCAGTGTTTTATAAAATATAAGTGAAGTAGGGGGAACTAACTATGGAAAGTTTATAAATGTTCCTGTAGGAATATATCTATCTGAAAAGTAATGTGTAAAATGTTAAGATTTAAATGAATATTAATATTAATGATAGAATTGAATTGGAATAGGTTGTTGTTTTAATCATATTATACATTTATAATTTTTTCTTTTTTTAAAATACAATGTGTAGCTTTAGAGTGTACCAAGCAGAATCCGAATGGAAGTTATCTATTATATTAAGTGTTATAATTTTAGGGGAAAGATATAAAGGCATCATACTCCAATCAGTGATTACAGGAGAAATTTCGTTTAATGAGAAAAGATAGTAGATAGTTGAAACAGAGAATATAAATATAACAATTTGAATTGAGATGGAATAAATAAAATAAAATTAGGGAAGTTAAAAGAGGGGAGAAGCTATATAGAAAATGTAGAATAGTAATAAGATATGAAATGGAATACAAAAATGAGCATGAACTTGAATTTGAGTCTGTATGGAGAGATGTAACCCGGGATCATGCCGCTTTCAAAAAAGATGTTTTATGTTTTCATTTTTTATGTTTTGTTTGTTTATGTTTGTTCTTAAAAATCAATAAAAATTTTCAAAATAATAATAATAATAATCTCATTGCTGGATTCCTGTTCCAGTTTATCCCACCCAACTTGCTCAAGAAATTTTGCACTAGCACTACAGTGAACATGAGCTGTGTCTGGATCCCAAAATCTAAGCGATCTATGGTTGGCCTCATAACCTACAAAAAATAACTTCTTAGCTCTATGTTGCCCTTTCAGTCTTACTTTTAAAGGAATATGTACCCATGCTAGAGCTCCAAATGTGTGTAGATAACTTAAATTTGATTTTCTGCCATGCCAACGAGTGAATGGCAATTCAGCAGTTGTTGTGTTAACTACATTGTTTAAAACATGATTACTATACATTATGGCTTCACCCCACAGTGTTTCAGGCAAACCTGAATCAGATAACATAGTGCGAGCCATGGCTTGTAATGTTTGCCCTCTTTGTTCTACAAACGAGTTATGTTGTGGTCTGTAAGGTGCAGAACGTTTATGCTCAACACCATCCAGTTTCAACATAGTTTGGAATCTTTTGTTAACAAACTCAGTCCCATTATCAGTAATTAAAGTAATTACTTTACTCCTCATTTTTCTCTCAGCAAACTTTAGCCAGTTAAAGAAATGTTGGGATGTTTCTGTTTTGTTTTTCATGAGATAACAGAAACCTTATCACCCATTGTACTCAAAATACAGCAGGCACCCCCTAAACTAGGTTTCTTAGGACCAATTATGTCAGCAAACACAACCTCTAAAGGTTCTTTGGTCTTAAAACCATTAAGTCTGTTTGCTGGAGTAACCTTGCTTTTATCATGGCTACAAGCATTACAG